AATTCTTGTCGCAGCGTGAAGACAACCGAGTTGATATCGATGTTGCAGTCATGTTGCAAACATTTCCTGTGGACTAGCGATCAATTGTCTTTTGTAAAAGACTTGTGAAAATATACTGAAAAATATTCCCATGATCTTCAACCATTAATAAAAAAAAATGACTTGGGAGAAAATAAGAAGAAATTTTCAATAACATTTAAAATGTAATTTCTCTGCGATCTTCTTTCAAATATACAAAAAGAAAAAAAAATTGCTGCCAAAATACCCCCCGTTATATATATATATATATATATATATATATATATATATATATAGGCTGTGTCAAAATACTTTTACAAACTTTGGGAGCAGGTTCCAAAACAAGGACAAAAGTTCATATAGACATATATCCGTAAATCCTTCGTTTCGTTATTACATTTTAATAAAAGTTTACGGTAGATGGCGCTGTGTTGCTATGTAGACTAGGTTACATTTGTTATTCGTGTACATTTGTGGCTAGTCTATCTTTAACTTTTAAGGTGTGTCGTAGTGAGTTACCTGAGAAGTGTTCCGTTTAACAATGGCAGAATATTTACATTATTCGGACTATTGTCCTCATCTTTGTCGCCATATTTATCACAATTTTTCGGCCGTTGTATGCCCCGGACTTCTTCAGGGGGTTGGAATTTCGAACTGAACCCTTTATTTCGCTCACTGGGGTAAACTGTTCTAGTTCTACGTGCCATGTTTGATGGCTGTCAGTTGGTCATGTATTATCTCCTGCTAATTTCCCTCTGAAAGTTCTCCATTGCCTTAACCAGGTATTGAACTCACACTCTTTGGGTCCTGTCACTGGATCTAACCATCGCGTTTATCCACTGTGCCATGTGTCCTTGAGGACAACTTGAAATCTTAGTGATCGATCATGTATTGCATTTTTTTGTTTGCCGTTATATTAACCGCTATGTGTTATTTAATGAAAAATCTAAATATTTTGCGCGCAATTTTTTGCGGGGTTGAGAAACAGTAATGGTTTTAATAATACAAGTTTTACTAATTAACCCATAGCTGAGGGAAGAGCTGGATTCATACCTTTCCCAAGGATATTTGCCCATAACAGGAATTAGAACTTATTCACCGATTAACAATTCAGAGACATTAACAATTACACCACCCACACACCCAAGCTTACAGAACCAGGTATTCCTAAGCTGTCAGCCATCTCGGTACTGACTATGCTCGATGTTGTTTCAACGTGATATGGCTGTAAGCCCATTATATCACTCGCACATCTCAGCTTACAGCCACAGGTATTCCCAAGCGGTCACCCATGTAGGTAGTGACCAGGCTCCATGTTGCTTAGCTTCGGTTATCGTACTAAAGGCGGTATTTCAGCGGGATATGTAAGCCTATACAACTCGCATATCCAAGCTTACAGCCAGTCGTATTCCCAAGCCGTCACCCATCTAGATACTGACCAGGCTCGACGTTGCTTAACTTCAGTGATCGTACGGGAACCAATGTATCAGCATAATGTAGCCGTAAATCGGTTATGCAATAAAGTAAAGTGTTAATGTATGAACTTTCAAAAGTGGTAAGGCCTTTTATGCAAACACTTGACATAATCTTACCTTAACCCTAACCCTAACCTTAACTCTAACCTTGACACTAGCCCTAACCGTAACCCTAACTCCTCCGCTTGACACAATCAGGAGTCACTTTCTCAAAGGACAATAGAAACATGTCAAGTTTTGTTTCAATTTATCCTTGTATCTGAACAATGCTCTTCCTATTGCCCCGGGAACTGTTTGCTCTACAGAAGGATTTTCCGTGTCCTTTCATCATTCAGGGGCACAACTTGACCGATCCCAGAAAGTTACGATGGCGTTTGTATTATCTCTATGACTCCACCTTATGGAAGACATCAACCTGACGAACATAATACCGAAAGGGAGTCAAAGATTCGAGCGAATGGAGGAGATTTGTAATGACTAGAGTTCGGTATAAAACTGACTGATGCCAAGTCAGGATCTTTCTTTGGATTTTGTCAAGAATCTAGAGATGAATATCAGGAGCACCACACCAGATATGACAGGGTGCACGGACGAATGGTAGATTTGTGCAAGATGGACTCTGCCGAGAAAAAAACAATTTCCAAAGATGTCTGTGATTTTCGGAATGCAATAAAATCTCTCATCGTCAAAAGAGGCAGAATCTTTGATTTTACTTTCTAAGTTTTCTTCTATATGCCTTGTCCTTTCATTACTCTCTCCAACTTCCTATTTTTGTAACTCTTACTAATGTTTATCTTTTTGCTATCCCACCTTATATTTTTCTGCCAAAAATTTATATAACACCTCTGGGCATGTGGCCCTTATTAACTTCCCCTATCTCCAATTATCTTCAAACTGTCCTGTGAATATCAATTTTTCCAAGCCCTCTTTCCTCATTATGTGCCTTGGGATTTTCAATTTTCTCTTTCTTATTCTAAGTAGAGCTATGCTTTTTTATTTCCAATTTCTCTGAAACATTTTTGTTGCTCACATGTCCTGTTTATGGCATTCTCTGCATTTGTCTGTAGAATCACATTTCTGTTGCCTCCGAGCAGATTGTCCAGCATCTTATTCCAGAGAGTCGAGAACAGAAGTTGGACATCTTTTCTTTATTTCTAACGAAAATTTTCCTGTTTCTTAATACTTTGCTTAGCTTTTATTATTGAAATACTCTTCGGATTTCGGTGTCACACTTTCCGTTCTTCCTTAAGATATAACATATATTTTAATTTTCGTACTTGATTAATTCTGATGTCTTCAATTCCTTGTTTCCATCATGGACTCTTCCTTTTGCTAACAACCATGCATACTATCTTCTTACAATTAATGCTTAGTCCTTTCTACTCGCTTTCCTTTACCATCTTCTGTAGGTGTTCTTGTAACTTAAATGATTTAGAATATTCAAGTTATTTACCATCAAAAGTAATTGGCATGGATGGTAGAGCGGGTATTGAAGAGGTGTCCCGAAAAACTACAGATTGCGCCAATGGCTTAGGTTGGTGTACGGTTTCAATCTTTTAAAAATATTTTAATGCTATTTGGTAAGTTAAATGACTTGAACACAGTTGGCATAACCATTAGTGTGTATATATATATATATATATATATATATATATATATATATATATATATATTCACCCAATGCAAGGAAGTAAAGTCAATAAGACACAAGAGTTTACAGAAAGTGGAAGAATTAGGAATAGAAACATTAATAATAAGCGGGAAGAGGAAAGAGTAATCAGGAGAACAGTAGATAGTGACTGACATTGCATTTAAATTTTTCAGGTTAAATTTGGACGGAATACATGGAACATGAAGAGAGTTCCACAAGCAAGAGGTGCGAGAGAAGAAACTGTTAGCATAGAACTTAGGGTTAAATCTAGTTAGCTCAACTGTAAATTGAGATCTTGACGCCAGTCTGGTATTGCGTTTAAATTCAAGAAGTCTAGATACCATAGCGAAGAACTCATCTGAACAATTACCACTAAAGTATTTATAGAAAATACACAGGCAACCTTACGGCGATGGGAAAGTTACTGAAGCCGGGAAAGTGACTATATGTAAATAGGACTAATACAAATAAAAGTTTGTCACTTAGCTGATTGATTCAGTGCCTTAGATCCAGACTTTCGTAGACGAGCCTTTTCTGCAATTGTTCAGTCCAACATTTGTCGATTTAGTCTAAGGCACTCCGCACAGCATTTCTCACATCCTGCGTTTAATTTCTCTTACTTCGATATTAACCCCTACTCAGAATTTATTTGTTGTTTGCTTTATTAATGCTGAGCCAATTTTCTAACAAGAAAAGTTGTTTCAAGTTAGGGAAAGGCCAATAACAATTCTCCATATTCGAATGAAAATGTTTTTGTTCATGTTGTTTTGAAAACAAAAACAGACCTTTTAATTGTCGTTCATGTTGAAAGCATTTCTGTCCTTCCGAGGCTGCTTTCAGGTAAGATCTGTTTTCAGTACTGCTTTCAGGTAAGATCTGTTATAAACATAGTCGTGTCATTAGGTGCAGCATCACTTTATTGTGTTAAAGAAGAGAGACTTGTGTTGCCCCGATTCGTTCGCAGTTCTGGTAGCAAGGGTCAGCAAATTTTGCTTCCTTCACGCAAGTATATGTGTCAAAATCAAACGTTCAACCAACATTTTTTTTCCAAATTCGCCCTCGTAAGAAAACAAATAAATATTGGAACGAAAGACAAAAGAAAACACAGAATTTGTAAAGCACCTGCTTTATTAAAAAAAAATCGTTTGCTGAACTGAACTAAAACCCTTTTAATATGGATTTGTTTCCATGAATTATACAAACTTATGATGGTGCATTTGGATCGATATATTCTTCGTCCGTTGATTTATCTAAATTCTTGTATGCTATCCATTATAGAGATTTAACCCTTAGAGAAGTTTAGAATAATGGCAGATTTTTTTTTTATTTTTATTAAAAATGAAATGTATAACCTTATGATGGAAGGTTTAAAATTTATTTTTTTTTGGAAGTGTTCGGAAATAATTATTAACAAATCTTTACATCCAATCAGCCTTGGAAAAATATGTTAGAGTTTGTTATTAAAATTGATATCAGTTTTTGAAAGATCATTTTATATTTAGATTATTATGAATAAACACTGTTTTTTTAATCATTTTACTTGATGATTTTGGCATTAACTGATCTGAAAGAAGACAATGTCTCAATATTTTTATCGGATAAAAGTAATAAAACCAAAATACAAAAGTAAAGAACGATAAGAAGAAAATAAAATAGAAAAGATCTGTAAGTAAAGTTAGATAAACATGTGCGGCGTTTGGAAAAAACCGTCTTGCAAATTGTGGAATAAAAAGTGAAACGAAAATTTCGAAACCAGCGTCGCATTGTATAGAAAGTAAGCAGTTTGAAAAGGCGCTCGAAGAAGCCCTTCTTTGGACGAAGACTTTGATGAGATGTTCATCTAGAAGGTAACTTTAATGCTCAGGGTAGCTTTTACCTGGAAGAAAAAAAAATGAAAAAAATCAGATAAGATTATTTCATTAGTTTGGGGTAATGGTCAACGAGAATAATCATGTTAACTCTTACTGGAATGGAATGATGGCTAGTCGCTCGTATCACTGTATAGTTATTTAATGCGGCTAGCCAATCCTTGTTGCAGACGTCTGCTCAGACACATTTGTACTTGTTCAGGAGCCACAGATCCCACATGTGGTTTATAATTCAACTTTGCTGAGCGGACCTTAGTTACAGGTTTTGGGAAAGAGTACATTATCTGGCGTAGTGAACAATCTGAATAAAGTCAGTGCGCTCAAACGCTCGGTCACGATGACTTGCGACGTCATGCTAGGACAACTATCGACGGTTCTCAAATAGTTCTGTTAGTGTCTGAAAACCATACCCCACAAGTTGATCCAAACCTTTTGAATCAAATCAACTAATTATTTATGGGTAGTGAGTTTGATTCCAATTTGGTACCCGAAACAAAATTCGATATTAAATATCGCAGCATAATTTGCTACGCCCTAATCTCAAGCAAAGAATTACTAAAGCGAGGTAATTGTTAAAGGCAACAAGAATTAATGAGGCATATTGTATAGAGTGTCAACCAAACGATAAAGTCTGCGATTACTTTTAATCTTTGTTTTTCCTGAAATTTGAGATCTATAAGACAATCGTTTTAGTAACAAATTCAAACAAAAAGAAATACTTACAAGACCCTTATCATCGATTAACTCCAGTTCAGAAGATCTGCTCATGTCGCCCCAGTTGTCAATGTTGGCGGAAATGTCACCTTTCTTGAAACCCCTTTCTTTTTCGCAATTCTTAGCCCAGATCTAAAGAAAAAGAATGACAAAGAATCAGATTATCATTCTGTAAGTTCCTCCCTTTGAACGTTCATTACGCACTGCCATTGACGCAAATAAATTATGGACCATATTTTGATTATGATTTTGAAAAATGTAAAAAAAAGACATATGAGAGACGCCGTCTACATTTAGTGACGAAAGAAAAAGCAGATGTAATATTAAGAAAGCAGAAAGGGTCAAGTCCCTGGATTACTTCTGTCAATGCTTTTATCCACTGGTCCAGTGAACGAAATAAAGTGCTTGGTTCGAAATTCTGAAGAAGGCAAGTGCGTACAACGACCGAAAAGTCGTGAATATGGTAATAAAGATTAGGACAACAGTTTGAAAAATATAAATGGTGTAAATATAAAACAATAATAGAATAAAATCTTTATTCAATTAAATTAAAAATGACATTACACAGATTGCCATTAATTTAGACAAATAATAGAATATTCCGCATTGAGAAAGAAAAGAGACATAATAACAAGAAAGAAAGATATGTGAATTATTATACTGTTTCTAATTATTATACAGTTCATAATTATTATACTGTTTATTATATAAAAATATCAAATTTCCTTTTATGTAGAGCATTATTACGTCATCACAATATAAGATAAAATTACAATGTTGCCTTTTTTCTGGAAGGGCACATATAGTATTAATAAAATAAAATAAACGTAAACACAAATTAATTAAATGTAATACAAGCAAGCATACATAAAATCTAGACATTAAAAGTATCGAAACCTTAAAACTATGAATTAAACTATTTTTCAAGGTTTTATTAAAACATATTAACATTTTAGATAAACATTTAACTTCTTTATAAAAAACGATGTCCATGAACACCCATGAGCGACTTCTTTTCTATTCTGAGGAAAATAATTCTTTTCTATTATTATTATTATTATTATTATTATTATTATTATTATTATTATTATTTTCTATTATCTCTTTATGGAGATTTCTATTGTAAATTTAGAAGGAACAGAAGACAATAGATTAGCAGCCAGCAAATGAAAGTAATCTGTTCTTGTTTCTATAATAGTACAGTGTAGCCAATCAAATTGTTGCGAAAAATTATCTGTGTCCTCTTCTCCTTTTATGTGACGCACTCTTACAGGATATAGGTGATCATAGCTCTCCACAACTACCTATTCTTTGTACCTCTAAACGATAGTTGCTTCCTAACTTCTCAGTCTCTGTTCGTCCATTTTCGCAATACCGTTAGGTAGTTCGATGTTTCTCACTGATCGTCAATATATCTTGGGAGTGTCAAATTCACGTTGGAGTGACAAGATCTTCCTCATTAAAGTGTTCTAGAAATGTCAACTGTCTCTTTCTGATTCGAACTACAAGTGTCATTTTTAATACCATTTTCCCTGACAACTCCTAATTTCTCACATTATCCGTTCATAGCATGCTCAGAATCCTTCTGTAGAACATCTTTTTGCCGAAAGTCTTCATCTGGGAAGACATTTTCTAACATTCACTGCTATGGAGGAGGAACGATATTATTTCTTTTTTTAACGAGATTTTTTTCGGTTTCTTAATTCTTTGTTTAGGTTTTGGAAGGCATCTTTTTATATTTCAATGATTCTTCGTATTTCGTGGTCATATTAAATATATATTTATATATGCTTTTTGTTTTAATTGGTAATTTTTGCAATAGAGTAACAGACAAACAATTGGTAAGTGATTAATAAATTTTAATGAGTAACAAAGAAAAGAGTCACTTACTTTGATGACTTGATCCCCGTCAAGAACAACTTCATTTTTGATGAGATGTTCTATGTTCATTTCTGGCATAAAGTTGGTGCTAATGAATTTGCGAGACAGTTTCCATCCTTTCAAATTCACCGGCTGTTTTTAAATAAATAAAAAGAAAACATATATATATATATATATATATATATATATATATATATATATATATATATATATATTATAAATTAATTGATTTAAAATATGGTTTTTTTTTTTTCGCTACACAGTTCTAACCATGTTTCAAAAATTTTTGAAACATGGTTAGAACTGTGTAGCAGAAAAAAAATTAATGCTCTGTAAATTTACATCGAGCACTATTTTGTAAAAATAAAAATACCTATAAGAACACCGGATTATATATCTTACTGTTCTTTCTTTATATATATATATATATATACATATATATAATACATGCAAAAAATTTTGGGATACCCTGTATTTCTTTTAAAAAAACCCTTAAAATGAGTTTTTTTTTTTTTTTTTCATAGTAAAAGATAAAATTTCTGTAACTATAATGTATTTGCATTTATTTCAGTCTTTCTACCAAAAAATTAAAATTTAGATTCGACTGTCCACAATACATTTCGCTAAATTATGAACATTTTGTATGAGAAACATTATATTTTGTTTTCACTATTAACCCCTCAGTAGACTTTTTGGGTTGATAAACATGGTTGGTCAATGAAGTAATAACAACAGCATCATTTGATTTTGCAAAAACATGCTATATCATCTGCTTTCCGCATAATTGGAAAGAAATTCAACTTTCAACAAAATAACGATGCAAGATGACCTCGAGTCATTTTGGACATAATGACTTGGACGCCTCAATCTCCTGACCTCTCTGCCATTAAATTAGTATAGGGTCAGTTGGATAGGAGAATCCGAAGAGAATACCAAAAGAAAAAGAAAGCCCTATATTAAGTTGATTTTGTTTAGCGGTATATGAACTATATAATAACGAAATCTAAATATTTTGTACGCAATTTTATGGCTTCATGGTAAATGTATGCTTTAGATATATACTTTGTAGATGATCTATTGTAGGTGTTATATGTTTTGGTATAAAACTATTTCTTTAAGGTTTATTATATTGACAGTTTCAGTATTTTCAAATAGTTTTTCTCGTGATGTTTTCCTTGTAGCATTTATGTTTTATAGAGGCTAAATGAGTACATTCAATTAAAATAAGTTTCACCTTGAGTGCAGCTTTGCATGTTGTACATGTTACTTGATCTTTATTCATTAGCAAGTATAAATGGCTGAGATATGTGTGGCCTATGTGTAGTCGAGTAATTTTGTCTTTTCTTCTTTTTCTAAATATTTGTTCCCATTCACCTCAGATTGGTTTGAATATAAAAAGTTTATTATCATACACCATAAAAGATTATATATATATATATATATATATATATATATATATATATATATATATATATATATATATATAGTGGACTCTCCATTTTTCTGACGCTAAAAGCCTGGTAAAAAGTTTCTGGGGGCTTGGTAGAAGATTTACAGTGCATTACGCGAGATTTGAGGTCTGAATTTATAATTTATGTAAAGATTTCAGAACCGTTTGTCTACAAGCTTATAAAACCTCGCGTAATTATTGGTCATGAGAGAAGGCACGTAGAATATTGGTACCTAGTTGTTTTTTTTTTAATTTAAGCGCAGTACTCCTCAATTTACAATTGAGATGACTAGATAAAACCGTAAGTTCTATGCTAACAATTTCTTTTATCGCACTTCTTGCTTGTGGAACTCCCTTCCGGCTCATTGCTTTCCAGCCAACTTTAATCTTAAATAAGTTAAATGCAATGCCAATCGCTATCTACTGTCCTACTGATTACTATTTTCTCTTCCCATTATTAATGTTTCTGTTCTTAATTCTTCCACACCCAGTAAGCTCTTGTGTCTTAGTGGCTTTACTGCCTTGCATGGGGTGAAAGACGGTAGTACCGAGGAACGCAGCCTGAGTAACACAGGAATTGATCTTATGGGTTTCCGATGACTGGTTGTTAACAACGATCTTCATGGACCACCTTGTTAGGAAGGACTTGATAAGAGAGAAACCCCTTCCAGAGATCTCATAACAGGAACGTTTATGTAGCAGACCCCGATGCCACACATTTTTAAATGGCTTTAATATATCCAGGGAGATATAAATATGTATTAATCAATAAATAAATTTATAAAAATAACAAAAATATTACTGCATTAACTTACAGTTTTTGATCGAAGGGAACTGGTGTTTTCAATTGCGACGAAAAGACCATTGTTGTCAGCCTCGTGGATAGAAAGGACACCTTTCGCGGTACGCGTCATAGTGATCCGACCTGTAGCCGTGGTTATGGAACCTGCAAAATGAGCAACAAAACTGGGTGAACGACTTGTACGATTGCCCATTGTACTACGTGCGACTGAGTTGGAGACGTCCTTTGAAGTAATAAGGGGTCGGGTCCTCCCCTTACTAACACAAGTGCTAATAATCTTTCGCGCTGCCCTAGCGTCCTGCCGCGCACTTAAAGTCCTTACTGATGATGTTCATCTTCTTCTTGGCGCACAATTGGCCATTTTTAGTCCCGTTTTTTATTGCGCGGCGGACAAATCCCCTGTGGTATACAAATAGTAGCAGGTAGTACAATGAACAATCGCACAGGTTGGGACCCATCACCAAAAAGAAGCACCCGCAACCAAAAAGGGTTAATGGCATGCAGAGTCCGAAATAATTTAAGGAATCAAACTTAAAGGATTTATTTTTAGGCTCGTATTAGTTTATCAGTATTTGTCGAAATAGATTAATATTTTAGACGTATTTTCAGAATCTCAATTTATAATATACAAATATATAATTTTTCCTGCTTTTCCTTCGGCGCCGAAGAAGGCTTTTTTGTAAGTCATCAGTGGGCCCGTGGGTGGTTCTACAATTGAAGTATGAATGTATAGAGTCGAGAGAAATGGGGACACTAGAATTAGGCGATTTTAACCAATGCTGAACAAACACAACACTCAAGAGAATTGATGCACGAAACATGTTTGATAAATATTGTACTACGGTTGGCGTCCAGATGGGCATTCAGATACTTAATAAATCAATTGTTAAGAATAATAGGAACAGGTCGATCTCTCTGAACCAGTTCAATCTTTGTTGAAGTCGTTATTATCGTTTTCGTCGTTCGTAATCGAAGAGGATCAGGGCTTCGTCTGAATTCCTTACATAATACTAACATAGCGTTCCTCAAAATAATCAGCCTCACTCACTTGACACAGTCTGCCTGGATCATTGTATTTTCTAAAACCGAAGTGTAAATTTTAGATGAAACCCGTTTGTTGTTAAACACAGATTAAGCCAAGCTCAACTAAAAGGCCAGTATTTTCGCTTCCTTTATTTTGAAAGCGAGGTATTTTTAGGTACTCGTTTTCCATTATGATTTTAAGTGAATCAGGTTGTTAAAGGAATTCGCATTCAAAATAATGGGTACGAGGTTTAAAAATATGCGAAAATAAGTCTAAGGTCAATATTTGTTATTCGAGACTATCTAAGGTCAGCATTTCATATTCGAGTCCATCTAAGGTCAATATTTGGTATTCAAACCATCTAGAATCAGGATTTTATATTCGAAACCCTCTAAGGCCAGGATTTGGTATTCGAAATCCTCTAAGGCCAGGATTTGGTATTCGAAACCCTCTAAGGTCAGGATTTGATATTCGAAACCCTCTAAGGCTAGGATTTGGTATTCGAAACCCTCTAAGGTCAGGATTTGGTATTCGAAACCCTCTAAGGCTAGGATTTGGTATTCGAAACCCTCTAAGACCAGGATTTAGAAGGCTGGGTTCTTTTAATTGAAATTTTGACGCAGCATTATTCTCTGCGCCCGTTTAACTTTGGAACGTGTTAAGCTCCACATAATGGAAGCAGTAAAATAAAGAATCAACTCAGTCTGGCCATCAATTCAATGACAGTCAATGGCTTGTGAGACCAGCTAGAAGACCTTTTATCAAAAAAGGCATGATTTTCTTCTTTTTTCGTTTTTTTAAAGTACGTATTTGTCACTGTGATTTTAGATGAAAGAGATCTCATACTTACCGAAGGAAAAATTAAAAGTAATAGATTGGAGGGTATGCGAAATTTAATTTTATTTTTAAGTGTTGACAGCTGGCTTGCAATTTAATTAGATTTCTATGGATTTACTTACCTTTTCTCCTGTTTGCTGTATGCTTTTGTATTTAAGTCTTTACTAAATACATCTTCGATTTAAATTAAGTGAATAACGAAAAGAAAAGGAAGGAAGCACTTAGGCGCAACAGCGGAGCAAAACCGAGATTTTATAAGCATCACAATGGTATATGAAAATATTAAAAGTAAGAATAATATTAGTAGATATAACAAAAAGACAAACATTAAGTGTTACAAATAACACAAAATCGCCGGGAACCCTGATTGCGCACGTCCTGAAGGGAGACGACACACAGAAGCAGACTCAAAGGAAACGACCTTCGTGATAACGGCTAAAGTAGACGCACATGTGTGCCTACTTTAGCCAATACCTGGGCTTAGTTTGTACCTTAGCCACAAATTAGGAGTCGAACTCTGTACCAATAAGTAGATTGTAAACTATTGTGAGATTAATGAAATTGGTATTAATGAAATCCGAGTCAGGACTGAACTGAGTCCACCTGCGAATTGGTCAGCAGAATGAGATAGATTAGCTCAGATTTTAACAGTGTTATCAGTGAAACATTTAATCAGGATCGAAGTCACGAGTAAGAGGAAAAGGGTTCATTGCGTGAATCACTGTTATCCAGTAGACGATCACACCACACATTTGGTGAGTCAACAAAGCGTTCGCACAA